CGCGCGGCTTCGATTTCGACAGGCAGATCTCGGCGCTAACGCTGCTTCCTGACATCTAGGAACCAAACAGGTTATAAAAAATTTTGATGCAAACTAGCATCAAATAAGACCCATCCAGCTCCTCTATAACTGCCTGCCGCATAAAATCTCGTGTATGATAGCAAAGCCAGCGAGATCCTCGTCCACAGTGGCTCGGATGTTTCAAGAGAAAGAGAGCAGGTCTACGTACTAAAAATGGATTTATATTTTTGTCAAATTCTATTGTTTGACTTACTTCCTGCAGTTCGGTGATAAGTTCCCTTCTCTTTTCTCCCAACCCCACTGCACCAATCACTTCTGGCATATCCTCAAGCACCGTGCAGTCTTTTGTCGTTGCTATTGCTTGCATCCCCGTCTCCTCACTGTCTAGGTGCGGTGCGGTGTTCTCGTCAGTTGGGCATGCTGAAGAAATTAGCTTAATAAAGTGCTTGATGAATTCTCTAAAGTCCATTTGCTACCGTCACGGATTAATGACCAAGCGTCCGCAGGCTTGTGCGCTATCCCACTCTTAACTGCATCAGCGCACGAGCAGTTCGTAGACAACGGACAAATTCCACACAGTGAGCAGTGCATTTTTCTCCGGAAATTGAATTTTTCTCCTCAGACTACACTTCTTATTACGTTTTTGCAGTGGCGGTGCGGCATTCAGTTTGTAGTACCTTCCAGGAGTTGTGAAGGATTCCATTGTCCATTCGGTGCCCCTAGTGTTAAACATGCCTGGAGTTTCCCTTTCTTCCACAGCCCTTTTGTGCCTCAACATGTTCTCCTTAGCACGAAACTTTCCCTCCGTCAAGCCGCGTTCATCCTGGATCAAATGCTCTCTCGCTATATACGGTATAGCACTGATCAGGATGTGCATTAGATCTCCGCTCTGCTATTAATAGATAGGTTGAGCAACGTATATTTTCTGTAAAGAGCATAATTTCAGTATTCAACAGATTGGAAAATTAAAAACCCATAATGGAATCATTATTAAACCTTTGAATACGTTTTCTTTTGTCATCTTTTGCTCCAAGATATGTCGGAATTCTCTATAATCGTTTTTGACTTTTGGAACCCCACGGCCATAGTCATCAACTAGCATCATTTTAGCCAGTTTCAGATTGTTGTGGTACAATGCTTATCATCAATAGAAATCCCAGCTGCGCTATATCTTTTGATGAGCTCGGCCTGTTCGGGCGTAATCACTATGAGACGAAATCCGGCGCCGTCGTTGGTTGTAGGTAATTCAAACTTCCGGATTGCGTCCTCCTCTACTGCCAACTGATGTCTAAGAATGAGTGACTGGAGGTCGTCCTCGTGGAGTCGTCCAGGTTGCATGGCAAGACTTCTTTGCGTATTCCGCACGTCACTGGCTGATGTCCAGTAGAGCCGATGCTTGCGTATCACTTGCAGGACAACAGGTAGGGCAAGTCCTAGCTAGAGGTAGTGCCCGATAGAATGCTTATCTGCTTCCGTCAATGGTAAAATGCAAGCAGAAACGCTGCAACATGTTCTCCACAAAATCTCACACTAACCCTTCCGTCATGCTGAATTTTCGCGTGGAAATAGTCATAAATGGATTTCTTGCAATAAGTGTGCTGGAAAATGAACACTCCTACCTTCAGAACGATCTGCAGTGGCAAGTTACTATCTTTGGTTTTTTAACCTGACACATTCCCTTTCCACGACTTCTAACTACCAGATCTTGAACGAAATTGTTTGATTGGAATCGCATCATAAATAATTGGATCACCTATTGCACACATAATGTATCACTGTGTGCCCTTTTTCTGTGGATGTGCTGTTATTCGCATTTGGTGATACTTTGCTTCTCATACGCGACTTTCTAAATCTCATACTCTTCTTTCGTAGCGAATTCCTTCCTTTCTTCTATGCAACGCTCTATCATGTTCAGTCCTGCAATGTTCGTTTAGGGCTGCTTGGTCAGCAACGCCGCACTTACATAGAGGACACGACCAAGGCGGAGTAGATGCAACACTTTCGAGATGCGTCCTTTTTATGT